CTTCCTTCCGGTTGCTTTACTTTTGAAAACAGTTACTAACTGTGCGTCCCCGTGAGAAGTTATCACCTAGCTAGCGGTCTCCTTTGTTTTTCAGGTCCGTATTGGCGATTATAAAACGGACAGAACATAAAACACAAACCTTTTGGAGCCATGTTGTAGTTTTCTCCTGCTTGTTGTTGTGTTTACTGACGAAGTCACTTGTGTGACTTCGTGCTCAGTCGGTGACAGCTGCTCCCCTGCTGCTTCGTGTCTCGTGGGAAGGGCCAAGCAGCAGCTTACGCGAGCAAGACGTGCTGCTGCAGTAACGTGCTGCTGACAGCTCCTGTGGAAAGCCGGGGTTACTGTGTGCAGAAACAGCTTAAAAGACATGCGTATATTCCACCCCTTGGACTGAGCTCTGCCTATGCATCGTGGCCAGACTATATATGGGTGGCTTGCCTGGAAAACATGACTCAGATCTGAAATAATAGTAGTTTGTGGCTTATTTTTATTTTTGCAGCCAAGTTACTTCTGTCCGATTTAGCTAAACAACAATGAAGTTTTTGCCATTAAAACTCTGGTAGAGTGCTGATAAATCTGTTTGTAGGTAATAATTTTATATTAAATCAGTTTTTCATCTAGAAAGCTCTTAATATTTTAAACACATTTGCAAAAGCATCAAGTAGAATTAATAGATAAATAATAATGGTAAATGGATAAAATAATATACATTTTTACATTTCAATATACGGAAACTTTTCAATTGAAGTATTTTTCAAATGTTTGACAATCTACAAGCTAATTGGTGTTTAGTGAACTTGTATTTCTACTGCCTCCAGACAAGTAATAAAGAATGTCTACATTTGTGAGCTGTAAGACGTCATCTCCATTCAATGATTCTTGCAGACTTGTCCTCTCACTAAAGCCTTAATGGTCAGAAATCTGCTTGTAATCTCCATTTTTATTTGTTTCCTCTCTGGCAAATAAAGCAAACTAGGTTTGTGAAGTGTTTCCAGCTCATCACACGAGACTTTCTGTGGTAACAACTGGACTCTTAATACACAGCACCATACTGACAGATGTTATGGAATCGGCCAGTGCTAGCTGAGCCTTTCAGGATGTAGATAACTTTGTAGCATGAATCAAATTTATGTTTTAATAATAACCTGTGTTTAATAACGTATGGAAAACATAATTAAAATGGGATGATTTGGTTTGTAATAAACAGTTGTGAGCTAAAACATCTAATCTTATTTGGAGGTGGACATGTGCATTTCTTTAAGGTTAAATAATTGCGGTATGGTTTACATTTAAATGTACAACATCGCATTGCATAATAGATCGTACTCCAGAGATCCGACGTAGTGTTACTGTGAAAACCTATAACAATTCAGCTTTTCTCATTTTGCATGTGTCAAAACTGCAGTCAGTCTAAATGCTGAGGTCTGTGTTTAAACTTCACTAACCCCAACTGATGTGAGATCAGTGGCTGTTGGTGCTTTTACTTTGAATTTATAATTTCATGTAAAACAACTTAGAAAAAAGTGTGTTAAGAGTCAAACAGTTGCACTCAAAGGCAGACTGAGGTGAACAAAATTTATATTTGAGCTTGTAAAGATCTTCTGAATTGTAAATGTGTCAAACTTTGTAGTACATTTAAATTAAAGAGCAAGTCACCCCCAAATCAACTTTTTTTGCTGATAAACTATGTAAACGAGTGTCTAATCATGCTGCAGACACGTGTAGTCAATAATTTGGCACTTTAGTGCATCTTGGTTAAAATTTTAATTTTCTGCCTAAAACCGTCAGTGTTGTGCCGTTGTCAGGTAAAAACTCTGCACTGTATTTGAATTTAAATCTGCCATCGCTATTAGCTAAGAGGTATGCTATGATGTAAACTGGTACATTATGATGTCACAATGCTGTTGTGAGCCTGTGAGTGTGTGTTTGTTAGCGGCTCCGCCCTCTCGGTTTGCCAGGCAACGGCATTTGTTGCATTTTTCACACATGAAGTGGGGGTGGAGTTAGACTCTGGTAGGGGGTGACTTGCTCTTTAAGCATCAACATATGTTTGGTTAAGACACACTGGGTCAGGTTTTCAACATCTGAGGGTGTCATGTTCTATATTTCGGTTGAAAATAAATTGTAAGTTGCTGCTCTGCCTTGCGCTATCAAGAGATTTGGTAATTTATAAATAAAGCTAGAACTATCAACTTTCAGACCTCCTGACCTTGAGCAAAGCTTTATCCTGAGAAACGTTTTTGTTTAACAGCGTTGTCCTGCCTTTATTTCCCTTCCTGAGGTCCCTGATTTATCAAAGCTCAGTGTCACTTACGTTGTAGTGTGTGGATTTTACAGGTCTTCTACTATTCTGAAAGATTTAGTTTTGTTTTCCTGTGATGTTCGTCTTTTACTTCAGTAAAACATTTTGCTCCTCAGCTTCATATATAACACAGGGTGTCCGCGGGGTTTTAAAAAGTATTAAAAAGTGATAAATAAAAATAGTCAAATTTAAGGCCATTAAAAGTGTTAAATTTGGTCTCAGAGGTATTATTTTTTCCAAATTAGGTATTATTTTTTTCAGACTATCAGATGTCGTATTCTGAACATCGACATAGAAATATGTTCCGAATGAAATGTTTTGAACGATTATTAAAAACAAGCCGATTATTTGCTCCTCCCACTTGCGCTGCCTTGAGTTGCAAAGGTTGCAAATGAAGCGCTCCTCCCAGTGTTGCCAAGTTAACTTGGCGACTTTGACGCTATTTCTAACAGCTTCTCAGACCCGCTTCTTGACTTTTTAAATCTTAAAAGTACCTAGCGAACACCTCAGAAACATCTCTGGTAACCCTTAGCTTCTTTCTGGATAACTATCGTCAACATTTCCTGCAGGTTAGCTAAACACTCCGCCTGCACTCCGGACCGTTCTTCAGGACATTATAGGAAAGGGAATGATGTAGTGATGTGTCAGTCGCTAAAGACAGCTCTCGGAGCCGACTCCCTGTTGGATTAACCAGAGTGAGTGACACACACAACGCACCTTGCGACTCCTGAGCCGCTAAAAACGGCTAAATGTGCGCGTGCGGCGTGCTAAGCACGTGCAGCTTGCCCCTGATTGCTGTGAGACCGGGTTGGGGGTGGGGGTGCAGCTGTGGTTGGGGCAATTATTACATTAACTGATGGACTTGTAAATAAATAGTTTATAAATAAGGTAGAAATAAGTTCCTCACGCTGATAAATAATAACTAATCTCTCTGAGGACACGGTGCTAGTGCACTCTCCTACAGCACCTTGACATGACTAAATAAATGCTACGCAACATTTAGTGAACATCAATTTGCATGTATTTGTTATAAATGCCACTGTATAATTCTTGCTGTCAGTATTTGCAAGATATTGGTATTTGGGTCTGCACTGGTTAGACTTAAATGAGTTAAACCAAGGTCTATAGCCCTTGGGTCATAAACTGAGCTATAAGTATATTGGTCTTTTTATACTGGAAATCAGGAGTTATTTTAGTGATCATCTTGTTTCTTGTTTATTTTTGCCCTGATTGTTCCCTGAGCAGTTTTATGACTGAATAAAAAAAATCTACATAAATTGAAAAATCGTCTTAAATAATCGAGATCTCAATTTCAGTCACAATAATCATGATTATTGTTTTTGCCATAATCGAGCAGCCCTACTTTAGCATATCCGGTCACATAATGATGACGTCATATTCAGTGGTCGTTGTGCATCATTTCAGGCCTCGTGGTCAACTGAACCGCTGAACCGAAGTGCCTGGCTTATCTTCTAAGTAAAATAAATACGTGCAATACGTTGTCAACATCAGTGAGTCTTTAAGTCTATTCTTTTTGTATGTTATATATGTTAAAATATGTGTAAATAGGTCGCTGATTAACACTTGCAATTTAGTGTTGTGATGGTTTTAAAAAAAATTCTGAAGGTAGTAAAAAAAAGTATTGAAAAGTAGTAAATTTTACTTAAGGATTGCTGTATATACCCTGTAACAACAGATGACTCATGCTGTGCTCGGTTTATTATCCAGACATCCAAATATGTAATGCAGCAACATTACCTATCTATCCTTTCTTCTATTTGACGAGCTGCTCTGAAGTAGATTTCTATGCATTTGTTAATGAAATGAAAGCTCTTGGTTTAGATTTATGTCCACTAGAACAACTGTTATGAGCAGAACCTGGTTTTAAGAAACCCCCCTGATACCATGTAGTCACAACACCTTCATGTGTTGTCTTTGTCCTTGTTGGTGACCAGAAAATTAATAAAATGAAATCACAGAATTCCTTAATGGGATCCAGCAGCCTGTGCCCCATCTCTATGGAACTAAATGGGATTAGTGTTATAGCCACATGCACCTTTGGATGTTAAATGGGATTATGCACATCCATTTAGATGAGATGGCAAATGTTTAGGTGGTTGTAATCAACAGCTTTTCATTAACTAGCAAGTTAAAGGTGACACCATTTCTTGGATTTAAACTTGTGTCTCAGTTGGCATCCTTTATTTATTTTTTGTGTGCTAATTAGGGATACAGTACCACTTTTTTCCAAACTGATACGATACCGAAACTTGAATCCGATTACTCGCCGATTACAGATACTTCTACCACACAAAAAAATGCAATGAACTGGAATACAGGTTTTATTTTCTTCTCTGCTTTCCAACAGGAAAAGACTGTGAGGCAGATAAAAAATAAAATATATTAATAGAAATGATCACAAAACTAAAATATTAGGTGAACAGAAATGACAAGTTGCAGTGCAGCCACTTTCAGGCAACTGCATTGGTATTGGTTTCTGGTATCGGTTAACAGTATTGGTGCATCCCTAGTGCTAATGTTTAAACTAGAAATGGTTCTGGAGCATGACCGTTTCTTCCTTCAACCTGTGGCTGATAAACCCACACCTTTCCAGCATATTTAATTTGATTCTGGCTTCTACTCATCATTTCTTTTTTATTTATTTATTTTCTTTTTTTTTTTTTTTTTGTCTTAACAGTTGTCCATTCCTAGCACTGCAGCTGACCCCAATCATCCCCGTCGTAGGAGGTGCGCTATTTCTGTTTGTACTGGGGACTCTATTGAGAACCAGCTTCAGTGACCCTGGGGTGCTACCAAGGGCCACCCCTGATGAAGCAGCTGACCTGGAAAGACAAATAGGTAAGGAAACACTTCCATAAAACAGTTTTTCTTTTAAAAACACCGTGTGGGGATTAAAGTTTTTCATTGATTATTTTCCAGCTTGGGGGATTTTTTAGTTTTTACTTTTTGTATCTTTGCTAATGCTGTTTCTGTTTGGGCTTCACAAAGGGTGCAAATAGAGTTGTATGTTTTGTGTCAAAGAGAAATGTTTACTGTTTTATCACTCCATCCATTCATCTCGTCTGTCCTGTCCCCATAGTGACCTATTGTTCAGGCCTTTAAGTGCTCCTTGACGCGTCAGCTAGATGAGGTGTCTAAGGTATACCTGTACAGCCAAAGAAACACCATCTTTAACTCAGCATTTTGGCTGAGGTAAATGATCAGTGCCTCTTTCATCTTTGACCTGATTTTCTGCGCTTCTTATGAGATTAATGAATTTTTGGTCCTAAATTGATATTTGATACGTACTTTTTCTTAGATGATTCGTGAATCCTTCGCATAAACTGAGTCACCAAGCTGCAGTACATCTTTGAGCTCATCATGACTAAATTGTGTAAATTGTGTCATCACATTTCCTGACAAGTGAAACCCCCGGACAAGTGACTAGTGGTCAGTCCTTTTTTTTTTCCGGAACTGCGCTGCTCTGGGTGGCTGCATGTTGGAGTAGCTCTATTGACTATATGTAAGTTTTGCCTTTTCTTGGGCATTTTTTCTTCTAGTTTCTCAAGAAAAACTATTTTTTGGACACTTTACTTTTCTGTTTCTGGTACTGTGAAGCTTGGAGGATTTTTACAGCTATTTTTTTTAGCTTTTTTCACTTTTTGAGCATTTGTTATGATGCGTAACCATGGCAACAAGCTGGTTTACAATCGGGAGCAGCAGATTAACATTGGAAAGGCTGAAATAATACCTCAACTGAAGCTACAAATCCCAAATGAGCTAAAACGCAAGAAGCGTGGATGCAGAGCGAGGAAGAGGAAATCCAAACGATCTCTTCCATCGATCATAATGGTCAATGTGAGATCATTGGCCAACAAGATGGAGGAACTCCAAGCCCTTTCAAGGACAGCCTTAGTTTCGGCAGTTTCAGAACCGCTGGAGGAGATAATGCAAAGAAGGATTCTCCAGAGAATCAAGAAAATGATGGACAACCCTGAGCATTCTCTTCACAAGACTGTCCGACAACGGAAGAGTGTCTTCAGTCAGAGGCTTCTTCAGTTTCGCTGCAACACTGACCGCTACTGGAGATCCTTCCTGCCAACAGCCATTGTAATAATCAACAACTCTTTGATGACTTGATTATTATTATTCTGAGCTACTACAGCAATCAATTTCCCTCTGGGATTAATAAAGTATTTTTGAATTGAATTGTGACCAGTCCTCACTAAGCCCCACCTTCTTTAGTTACTGTTGCTAACTCTGACAAGTCGCAGCTAACAGCACTTTTACAATGAGAGCAGTTGGTGCCGAAACAATTCCTCAAGAGGCTCTTGACAATGTTTGGAAGCAATATATCTTTGTGGGGCCTCTGCATTATGACATGGAAGGCTGTGAAAAAAATTCAACTTCAAACTTTTACGCAGTAAAAGTCAAATTAGAGGCAAGGATCGTCCGATCACTAAGCAAGAGGGAGAAGTCTCATCTAGTGTTAACTGTCTTTGAGAGAAACACCATTGAAAATCAGCTTTGTTCATAACCAGCAGGGTAATGTGTTCAATTCATTTGGTCTCTGTTAATTTAACACTAGCCTGCTAGTTGGCTAGCTTAAAAGCTCATTGCCTGTGATTGATAAGATAATACAAGACCATTATCTTACCTTAGAACAAATGTAGACATCATTGTTCATAGTTGTCTCGTAGACTTAACTGTGTGGTCTGCCACACAGCTTTATGCAACTGAGACATTTGTCCATGTTTAGTTTTCCAATCCACTTGCTATGCCCCAAGCACATCATTTAACAATATTTGTTCTATTAAATAAAAATAAACCACAGAACCACTAAAAACCTGCAGACCCTAATGCTGAGGATGCTAATGTACGGCTGCAAGAACGAGTGTTTATTTTTGGGAATGCTATTGGTTTGTTTTTATTTGGAGGTGGGGCTGAGCAGGACAGAGACACAGGTCAGTACCAAAAAAAGCTAAAAATGCTAAGTAACTAATTTCTAAAAGAAATGCAATAAGAGACAAAGACTTTTACAATCGCTCTTTAGAAATGAAAGTTTGAAAAATGAACATGTCTTAGGATAGTGTGCAGGAGACTCTAGAGGGAGATGAAGTAAAAACTGAGAAATGCACTCTGTCATAGTTTGTCAGACATCTTTTGGCTGACAGATTTACAAGAATACTCATCTTTTGTGTAGATGCAGAAATGTTCCTTTGCAGTAATTTAGCAGGGGTTGCCACCATTCATTGTCAGTATAAGACTTGGCTTTCATCTTTTATTTATTCTGATCTGAAACCATCTGAGAGCGGTTTATGACTGGAATCTGGAAGCGTTTTTATGAAACCTATAGCACACTCATCTGATTTTTAACAACTTCCGTGACAGTCGTAGTGAGATAAAGCTTCTTCTCCCTGTTTTCACCAGTCTCCTCTGTCAGAACACATCATTTTCTCCCCTTTGCTGTCATTCTATTTCAGCATCCGCTCTTCTGATTTCTGGACGAATATAATTTGTTCAGTTGTTTCGTCATGATGCATTCGACAGTGCTTTTGAAATTTCTGCCAGGCCAATTTCAAGAAGTGCCCAGTTGCCTGGTAGCTGAATGAATTATCGCCACGTAACTCAGAACTTAGCCTTCTACATCCTATTTTTAAAGCCTCTTTTAAACTGTTGGTCATTTTTGTTTGGAATGTGAGTCTTCTACAGGTCCTTCTCAGTTCATTATTGTCTGTAACGCACTGATAAACATTAGACTTTCATATATATTTGATTCATTACACACAACTGAAGTAGTGCAAGCCTTTTATTGTTTCTAATATTGATGATTTTGGCATACAACTCATGAAAACCCAAAATTCCTATCTCTAAAAATTAGCATATTTCATCCAACCAATAAAAGAAAAGTGTAATTAATACAAAAAAAGTCAACCTTTTAATAATTATGTTCAGTTATGCACTCAATACTTGGTCAGGAATCCTTTTGCAGAAATGACTGCTTCAATGCGGTGTGGCATGGAGGCAATCAGCCTGTGGCACTGCTGAGGTGTTATGGAGGCCCAGGATGCTTCGATAGCGGCCTTAAGCTCATCCAGAGTGTTGGGTCTTGCGTCTCTCAACTTTCTCTTCACAATATCCCACAGATTCTCTACGGGGTTCAGGTCAGGAGAGTTGGCAGGCCAACTGAGCACAGTAATACCATGGTCAGTAAACCATTTACCTGTGGTTTTGGCACTGTGAGCAGGTGCCAGGTCGTGCTGAAAAATGAAATCTTCATCTCCATAAAGCTTTTCAGCAGATGGAAGCATGAAGTGCTCCAAAATCTCCTGATGGCTAGCTGCATCGACCCTGCCCTTGATAAAACACAGTGGACTAGGGATGGGTACAGTACCTTTGACATTTGAATCGATCCGGTACAAATTCCCGGTACCTACGAATCGATACCGGTACTTAACGGTACCAATTTTCGATACTTTTGAGTGTTTATTATTTTAATTCTCTTTTATAATTAAATATATATTTTTCTCAATATATAACCATATTTGATAAATATCACGATAAATAACATACAACTGTTTGTATTTTAACATTGTCCTTGTAGTTTTATAAGCTGATAATTAAACTGAAGCAAACATCTTTACTGTGAACTAAATTTACTGTGTATCTTCATTCCTTTTGCCGTCTTTTTTCATTTGATTTTTCCTACTGGGAAGTTAGAATTTCTGAGGAGAAAGCGAACGCACCATTAGCTGATAACAACGGTGGCAATGGAAGCTAACATATCAAGCTAATTTTATCTTTTAACAGTTTATTTAACTGGTGGAGGAGATTAAAACGATGGTGCCTCACACTTAGATCGTTGTCGCTGGTTTCATCTTCACCCAATCACACGTCGCATTTAGTAAAGTGAAGCCAAACTTTGGAGCGCGTTCATGTTCTAGTCGGAAATTCGGGGTTCCGAGGAGAAAGCGAACGCACCATTAGCGAAACGGAAGCTAACATATCAAGCTAACGTTATCTTAAACATTTTATTTACCTAACAGAGCAGATTAAGATGAGGATGTCTCACTTAGATCGTTGTCTGTCGCTGGTTTCATCATCACCCAGTTACCCATCACATTTAGTTAAGTGGACCCAAGCTTTAGCGTGCATTCTTTCTACCATGCTGCTCTGTTTACAACTGGCTCGCAGCGACTGACGACATAACGCCCTTGCGCATGCGCAGCTGTCTTTGCAAGTTCTCGTTATGAAGGACGGGTACCGAAACAAGGCACCGTTTGAAACGACGTGAATCGGTGCTCGGTCGGTACTATGGAATTTGGTCGGTACCTTAAAAAGTACCAAATTCGGTACCCGTCCCTACAGTGGACCAACACCAGCAGCTGACATGGCACCCCAGACCATCACTGACTGTGGGTACTTGACACTGGACTTCAGGCATTTTGGCATTTCCCTCTGCCCAGTCTTCCTCCAGACTCTGGCACCTTGATTTCCGAATGACATGCAAAATTTGCTTTCATCCTAAAAAAGTACTTTGGACCACTGATCCTGTGCTGCTTCTTTGCAGCCCAGGTCAGGCGCTTCTGCCGCTGTTTCTGGTTCAAAAGTGGCTTGACCTGGGGAATGCAACTCCTGTAGCCCATTTCCTGCACACGCCTGTACACGGTGGCTCTGGATGTTTCTACTCCAGACTCAGTCCACTGCTTCCGCAGGTCCCCCAAGGTCTGGAATTGGTCCTTCTCCACAATCTTCCTCAGGGTCCGGTCACCTCTTCTCGTTGTGCAGCGTTTTCTGCCACACTTTTTCCTTCCCACAGACTTCCCACTGAGGTGCCTTGATACAGCACTCTGGGAACA